TAATCCCTGCTCTCAGCATTGATGCTGATGCACCATGAGCTGAACCTCCCTTGTGCCATTCTTGATGGATCCTTGGCTGGAGAAACCGAGCACATCCCATGGATCCCATCCCAGGCACTGGGGAGCTGCTCAGAGCCTTCAGGAAAATGAAACCTTGGGAATCATTAAAACTTTAAATTCCTTGTCAGCTCAGTGAGCAGCTCCTGGGAGAGCAGGCAGAGGGGAGGCTGTGCTGGGATATTTCCCCTGCTTCTGGTTTCAGCACACCAAGAATCTTCTTTATTCTCTCCAAGTGCTTCCTGGCAACTTCTAAGGTTTTCCTGAGAGATGTTTTAGTCTGGGATGATCCTTTCATCCCTGCTGCTGCCTCTGTCCCAGCCATGTGGGTGCAGTGAATTCCCTGGAACAAAAAGGATGGGTGTTTGGGGTTTTTGCTCCAGAAGTTTTGCAGCCAGCCTTAACTGGGAATTTCCTCACCCACACTGGTGTCCTGGGAGTTCTGTCCTTCCCTTTGCCACCAAAGCTCTCCCTGATTCTCTCCTAGGGTGAGAAGGGCAGCAAGGGTGACCTGGGCCAGCAAGGGGACGATGGCTTCAAGGTGTGTGACAGGTTTTGCTCTTTTCCTTCCCCCCGGTCCCTTATCATCCTGTGTGACATCCTGCCATGTTTCCAGGGCAAGCCAGGACCCCATGGTGTCCCTGGGAGGCCAGGACCCAAGGGAAAGCAGGTAAGGGCAGGATGGAGAGGGATGTCAGAGATTGAAATGAGTATTTGGGGTGAATTTCTTGTTTTTTCCATATAAAATCCACCTGGGGAGGGGGCTGGGTTGTAGAAGGATGCCAGGCTGGGGGATGTCCTGTGTAGTGCCCTGAGCTCTCTGTTGTCCTTGCAGGGTGACACTGGCCCCCCTGGCCCACAGGGACACCCTGGAATTCCTGGGACACCAGTGAGTCCTTCCCCCTCCTGCAGGTTTGGGGTTCACTCCTCACCCCACAGGGATGCAGCTTTGATCCTACCTGCCCCCCTCTTATCCTGGTCCTGTCCTTTCCTTCCAGGGCTTGTCTGGACCCAAAGTAAGTAGTGGGGAGCAGCTGGAGCGGGATCAGCCCTGCCATGGGATCCCTCCCCTCCTTCCCACTCCAGGGGTGCGGGAGGCCCGTGGGGGTGCAGCTCAGCACAGCAGCATCTCCCACCTTGCTTTCCTTCCCTTCTCCACCTCCTCCTTTGGCAGGGGCTGAGAGGTTTCCCGGGCCTGCCAGGCCCCAGGGGCACGCCGGGAATGCCGGTAAGCAGAGCCACAAACGCCCCTCAGCCCAAAATTTGGGTCTCTCTCTCCCCTAAACATGGCAGTGAGGTCCTGCCATGCCATGCTGTCATTCCATGGGGATGTCCAGCTGCTGGCACTGGTGGAGGAGCTGCTGAGGAGCTTGTGGGCAGCAGCCAGTGCCAGCAGCACTGTCATTGTCCCCCAGGGTCTGGCTGGCCCCCCTGGTCCCAGCGGGCCTGCAGTGATGCTGTCCCAGGAGGAGCTCCAGGTGAGTGACCCAAAGAGGCTGTCAGGGATGCTGTCCCATATCCTGCTGCTTCTGAGGTCCCCTGTGCACCAGGACCAAGAAGATCCAGCTACTCCCTCTCCCCTCACACTTGTCCTTGTCCCCTGCAAGTGCCATCCCCTTCCTCAACACCTGATGATGCTCCTGGTGGGGGGATCTATGGTCAGCTTGGTGATATCCCCTCCTTTTTCTTTCAGCACCTCATTTATTCCTCCAACCACCTGAATTACACCGTGGTCTGGGCTCTGCTGGACACCCTGAGCCGGGAGCTCCAAGCCCTCGTGGAGCATCCCAATGGCACCAAAACCAAACCAGCCACCACCTGCAAGGAGCTGCTGCTGGCTCACCCTGGCCTGCCCGACGGTACCAGGGGCATGGGGGGCCCCCCTGGGCCTGGCCTGGTCTCCAGAGCCTGTGAAGGGACAGGCAGCTCTTTGAAATAAAGAGGGAATAAGATAAGGATTTTGGGGAATGAGGTCAGATGGGCTTTGTGGGCATCCCTGCAGAAATGGGCTGGCAGCCAGGCCGCCAGCTGGGGTGGGATGGCACTGTGTGGCACCCTCCCTGTGCCAAACCTGAGTGCCAGGGCTGTCCTCTCCTCCCTCCAGGGCAATACTACATCGACCCCAACCAGGGCAGCCCCCAGGACGCGCTGAGGGCCTTCTGCAACTTCACAGCTGGGGGGGAGACCTGCATCGCCCCCATCCACAACCAGGTACAGGGTGGCTTTTATGGGGCAGCTTCAGCCCCGAGGGACCCCTCAGGGTGGGTGGGGACAAGGGCTGGTGGGGCTGGAGAGGGACAGGGTGACCGTTCCCTTGCTGTGGTGCCCACTGCCCTGGCAGGGAGTGAGGAGTGAGGATCCTGGTCACGGTGTGTGCCAGGCTGCAGGGACACCCAGGGGCTCTGTGTGGCTCCTTGTCCTGTCAGTGCCACTATCCCCTGTTAACAGTGTGACAATTGTCCCTGCTCCCCTCAGGTCCCCATCAAGGCTTGGCTGAGCACCTACAGCTCTGAGAACACCTTTGAGTGGTTCAGCACCCTGCCCGGCGGCTTCCTGGTGAGTGCCCGGCTGGAAGAGCCGAGGGGACACAGGGCTGAGCTCGGGGGTCTCCAAGTGCCACCCTGCAGTGCTGGGACAGCCCCCGGCTCCCCTGGCTGTGCACAGAGGGATGTGACACTCCTTCTGCGAGGAACTCCGGTGCTTAAACCCTGCCAGGGCTGTGCCTTGGGGGAGCACAGCCGCCCTGCAGCAGCCCCCGCATGGCGGATCTCCCTCCCGCTGTCCCTGCAGCTGGAATACGCGGGGGCCAGCGCGGTGCAGCTCCGCTTCCTGCGCCTGCACAGCCACCGCGCCTCGCAGAAGGTCTCGTACTCCTGCACACCGGCCCCGGAGCGCGGCCGGCCCCAGCCCGACAAGGAAATCCGCTTCCTGGCCGACTCCCGGGGTCACAGCTACGCAGCCAGCCTGCAGGGCTGCCTGGTGAGCCTGGCCCCACGCAGCCTTGGTGCCTGCAAGAGCCTCCCGAGAGTTTTTGAGAGGCTCTCTCCAAGAGCCTTGGGAGAGTTTGGGATGCACTGGGGAGATGGTGGGATGGGGATGGAGAGCATCCACACCCCTGGCCCAATGAGCTTCCTGATCTTGGGATGTGGCAGGGGATGGCGTGGGCCCTGGCAAAGGTCATCACCGTGGAAAAGCCAGGAAGGGCTGGGGATGGACACTGGCTGCAACAAGGAGCAGCCAAGGGAGCTCCAGGCCCTCAGCTGAGGGGCTTGGTGCCACTCAGCTGTCCCTGGTGGTCATTTCAGCTGGACAACGAATCCTCCATCACCGACACCATCTTCCAGTTCAGCACGGAGGAGCTGTGGCTGCTGCCCCTGCGGGACCTGGCCGTGTTCCACAACGGCGACGCCTCGCACCAGTTTGGTTTCACAGTCGGACCAGTTTGCTTCAGCTGAAAGTGGTGCCACCCAAACCGAGCCAGCCGGTTCTGTCCCCACCCAAGAGCCATCCTGGTGGGGACAAGTGGATGCTGGGGGTGGTACAGGGCTCCCACCTGCTCCACGGAGCTGCTGTGTTTGGAGCTGTATTATGCCCTGGACTCCACTTCCTTCTGCAGTTGAGGAATATTGTTTACAGAAATCATTTCTCTATAAATTATATATATATATTATATATGTAGATATTATATATGAGAAGGTGCTGATTTAATGACTGCTTGGGGGAGGTTTGAGAGTTGTAATTGCTGGGAACTGTCTGTAAAGGAAAAAAAAAAACCAACCAAAAACAAGGAGCAAAACTAGTGCCAGCTTGGGAAAAGGGGAAGGAAAGGAGCTTTTCTTTGCCAGGGTCAAGTGCACAAATGGTTGGAGCATTGATTGCCCAGGACTGGGCTAGGAAGTGGCCTTGGTAAGCCTGGGAGGGCCCAGAGTGGTGCTGCTCCAGCACCTCCCTCCCAGCCAGGCATTAAGTGCTGCAAAGGGGTGAAAATGTCAATGTCCCCCAAATCCTGCCTCAGTTTTGAGTCTCCATCTCACTGAGAGGGATTTTAGTGGTGTAGAGACAGGCACTGTAGCACTGGGTGCCTTTGTGGGCATCTGCACCTGCTGGCACTTGGGGAAACTGAGGCAGGGCCAGCTCAGCACTCCCTGTTCCCAGGTGTAATGAGGATGGTTGGAATGCCCCAGCATGGAGCAAACATCTATGTGCTGCTAGTCACAGCTGGAAGGAAAGTTCCCCTTTGTCCTGCCTGTCTGTAGGGAAAATAAAATCACAGAATCCTAAATGGTTTGGGTTGGAATAGAAATTAAATCCCATCCAGTGCCCCCCTGCCATGGCAGGGACACCTCCCACTGTCCCAGGCTGCCCCAAGCCCTGTCCAGCCTGGCCTTGGGCACTGCCAGGGATCCAGGGGCAGCCACAGCTGCTCTGGGCACCCTCCCAGGGAACAATTCCTAATTCTCAATATCCCATCCATCCCTGCCCTCTGGCAGTGGAAGCCATTCCCTGTGTCCTGTCCCTCCATGCCTTGTCCCCAGTCCCTCTCCAGCTCTCCTGGAGCCCCTTCAGGCCCTGCAAGGGTTCTGAGCTCTCCCTGCAGCCTTCTCCTCTCAAGGCTGAACAGCCCCAAAAATCTTTCGGCATTCTCAGGGTGCCGGGGGGCACCAGCACAAAACCCCCTGGGGGCTTTAAATCAGCCCCGGGATCGGGATGGAGCCGGGAGCGAAGGGAAAGCGAAACCGCGGAAGGCGCCGGGGCCGGGCCGCGCTGCCGCAGGGCCGAGCCCGGGCAGGGCCGCGGGAGGAGGGGACAGGCCCGGGCCCGCCCCGCACTACAGCTCCCGGGGAGCCCCGCGCCGCCACGGGCCGCGACATCGGCGCGACAGGCTGCGACATCGGTGTGACAGGCTGCGACATTGCGACAGGCTGCGACATCGGCGTGACAGGCTGTGACATCGGCGTGACAGGCTGCGACATCGGTGTGACAGGCCGCGACATCGGTGTGACAGGCTGTGACATCGGTGTGACAGGCTGTGACATCGGTGTGACAGCGCCGCGGCAGCGCCGTGACAGCAGCCCCGGGGGGGACGGGCCGGGCCCCGCGCCCGCTGCCACCGCCACCATGCAGGTGAGCCCCGGGACGGGACGGGCACGGCACGGTGGTACCGGGAGACCTTCCTGGAACCCCGGAAATCCCCCTGGAACCCCGTGATTCCCCTCCCCGGAAACACTTAAATTCGCCTAGAAGCCCGTGATTCCCCTCTGGAACCCCTTAAATCCGCCTGGAACATCGTGAATCCCCCTGGAACTCCCCCATGAACCCTGTGAATCCCCCCATGAACCCCATGATTCCCCCCCGAAACCCCTCAAATTCCCTTGGAACCCCATGAATCCACCCTGGAACCCTCTGAATCCCCTTGGATCCCCTTAAATCCCGTCTATAACCCCGTAATTCCACCCTGGAATCCTGTGAATCCCTGCCTGGAACCCCATTAATCCCCCCTGGAACTCTGTGAGTCCTCTCTAGAGCCCCTTAAATATTCCTGGAAGCCCGTGATCCCACCCTGGGACCGTGCAAATCCCTGCCTGGAACCCATGAATTCCCCTGGATCCCTTTAAATCCCCTCTGGAGCCCTGGGAATACACTCTGGAACACCTAAAAGCTCCCTGGAACCCTATGAATCCCCCCATAACTTCTTAAATCTCCCTGGAATTGTCCAGGGTCGGGTTGGACGGGGCTTGGAGCAGCCTGGGATGGTGGAAGGTGTCCCTGTCCATGGCAGGAGCTGGGACAAGATGAGCTTTAGGATCCCTTGAGCCCAAACCATTCCACGGTTCTGTTTGATGTTTAGGGCTCCCAGCCCCCTGACACCAGTCCCGAGGAGGATCCCAGTTTGGGGACACCCCCTGACCAGCGTGTCCCCAGTGTGGGGCTGCAGCTGGGACTGTGCAGAGTGGGCTCGGCGTGCTGCAGGAAGGCAGCTTTATCCCAAAGTGTGGGATCACACATCCCAGTTAGGCTGGAGCAGCAGGCTGGGATGCAGCCTGGCACTGCTCTGTGCAGGCACCACTGGTTTTGCTAGAATAACCCCAAAAGTGCAGCAGATCCTGCCCTAAATGCACCTTGAGCACAGGAGATTTCCCAACAGCTTTTTTTCCCGGTGTGAATTCCTGCGGGGGAGGAGCTGGGCGCAGCCTCACCTGGGAGCCTGCTCAATCCAATCCCTGCTGCGGGGCGCACCTTGAGCACAGATTTCCCAACAGCTTTTTTTCCCCGGTGTGAATTCCTGCGGGGGAGGAGCTGGGCGCAGCCTCACCTGGGAGCCTGCTCAATCCAATCCCTGCTGCGGGGGCAGGTGGGGGAGGACAGGATGCCCTCCCTCAGCCTGGGACATCTCCCTGGCAGCAGTGGGAAGAATGTAGGGGTTTTTAGGATTTTTCCCTCTTGACCTTCACCCACCAAGAAATCTCTCTGTGGAATCGCTGTTGGCCCAAGGAGCATCGTTTTGGGGTCACACCCACACTGGGCACCCAAAAACATGTGGCTCCACCCCAGGCTGGGGCAGCAAAGGGATCTTCTGGATCTCTGGAACAGGCTGTCCAGGGAAGGGGTGGAATCACCATGCCTGGAATTGTTCAAAAGACATAGAGAGGTGGCACTTGGGGCCGGGGTTTAGTGGAGGCCTTGGCATGCTGGGTTATTGTTTGTATTTCATGATCTTAGAGGGTTTTTCCAAAGTTAATGACACTGATTCTGCCCATGACTTCTGTCCTCCATCCCTAAAACACTCACCTGCTCCTTCCACCACCTGTGGGTGAAGCCTGTGAAGGAGAAATAGCTTCATTTAAAGGCTAATTATCATTAATCTGTGACCAAAGGAGGCTTAAAAGGGTGAGCCAATTACATGTGCTAATGTGCTGTGGGTAAGGAGGGCCGAGGGCTGTAATTGGAGCCGGGCTGTGGCCTGAACACCCACGGGGTATTGGATGGTATTTCTGACCGAGCCTGGTCCTGGTCCTGGTCCTGTCAGTCACCTCTGCTGGTGTTGGAAAAGGCAGGAAAGAGCAGCCAAACACGGATCTGTGCAGGAGAGGAGCAGCTGTGAGCTCCACAAACACTTCCTAGGGAGATTCACCAAAGGGAGCATGAAAAACCCAACAAAATTCCACCTTTTGAGCAAGATGTGTCAGCTGGCTATGAGCTCTGTAGCTGATGTTACACAAGAGCAATTCCTGCTCCTCCTGTTTCAGCAGGGTGAAGGAGGAGGGGTGGTGCCTTTACAGGTCCTGGCAGTGTTGGGATTGATACTCCACTGTCAGGGAGGCACCCCTGGACCTGGTCCCCATTGCTGGGTGGTCACACTTGTGGCTCTGGGTGCCTTGGTGGTTGAGTTTTTGGGTGTTCTGGCAGTGCAGGAAGTTTCTCTGCCCTGGGAAGCAGAGGGGAGCAGAGGCTCTGCCCACCAGCTTCCCCTCAGCCTGCACCTATCTCCAGGGACCTTCCCTCCTCAAATCCACGTGGATGGATTTGAGGATTCATCTCTCTTTGTCACAGGGGTAAACTGGCTTTTTGTCACAGCCCAGACACAGGAGCTGCTGCTGGGGGTGCAAATTTTCCTGCTGGAGCTCACGGGGAGAGTTCAACCCAGTCAGCGTGACTGTAATTGTCTGTGCAAGTTCCTCTTCCCATTTCAGAACTGGGGAAAAACTTGCACCATTTGGTGAATCCCCAGATGAGCATCCCAGGGTGGGGGGTCAGGGAGCTGCTGACAGTGTGGCACCCATCACCCTGAGGGGCTCCTGCACTGCCCTTCCCTGGCCTCTTTTCCAGATGACCTTCTACTTCTCGGACACAGCAGTGCTGCTCTTCGACTTCTGGAATGTCCACAGCCCCACAGGTAGGCAGCCAGCACTGGGATATCCATCCATCCATCCATCTATCCATCCATCCCTCCATCCCCTCACTGCAGAGCTGTGTGGGCTCCTGGAGCAGTTTTTGGCAGGACCTGCCTCTCCCTGCTGAGCTGTGCTGTGCCCTGGGCATTCCCCAGGCAGGGGTTGATCCTCCCAAGACAAGAGCAGCAGGCAGGGAGCTGTGTGAAGCCCCCCCTCAGCCTTCCAACCCCCCAAGATCACTCAGGAATGGCTCAGCTTCCCACTTTCACACTTTTCTTTCTGTTTTTGTTTATTGTCCCAACATCATATTTTAACTCCCATGTTTTTTGTGGAGTTGATGCAAAGCTATGTATTTGTTTCACGGCAGCTCTCTGGACAAGAGGGCACAGCCTTAAGCTGAGCCAGGAGAAGGTTAGGCTATGCAAAGCTGTGTTTTTGTTTCACAGCAGCTCTCTAGGACAAGAGGGCACAGCCTTAAGCTGAGCCAGGAGAAGTTTAGCCTGGACATTAGGAAAAATGTCTTCACTGGAAGGGGCTGCCCAGGGAGGTGGTGGAGTTGCTGTCCTTGGAGGTGTTTAAGGAGGGTCTGGATGGGACACTCAGTGCCATGGTCTGGGTGACAAGGTGTTGTTGGGTGAGGCCACAGGTTGGACTCAATGATCTCAGAGGGCTTTTCCTACCTAATTCTGTGAGTTAAAAAGCTAAATACACCATATCCTGACATTGCTGCCCAGCCCCAGTGCCAGGGACCCCCCACAGATATTCCCAAACCCCCCCGTGGCGGGCCCTGCTGTGGCCCTGTCACCCCCCCGGGCTGTCCCCGTGCTTGGGCAGTGTCGGGGTGTCTCTCCTGCAGGGATGGTGCTCTCGGTGCTGGTGATCGTGCTGCTGTCCGTGCTCTACGAGGCCGTGAAGATGGGCAAGGCCGTGCTGCTGCGGCGGGCGCTGCTGGCCCTGCCCCGCAGCCTCAGCCAGGAGGCCCTGACCGAGCCACAGGAGGGGGACAGCGACCCCGCGCAGGGCAGGTACCACAGGGAGCCCTGGCACCCGCCTGGGGGCTCGGGGATGGCTCTGTGGGCCCATGGCCAGCACAGAGGGGCTGTGAGGAGGAGCTGTAGGCTGCCAGGGAAGGGAGGTGTGTACAGCCTGGGGAGGTGGCTCCAGGGCCAGCCCAGCCCCTCCAGATCCTCTGGGATGTGTCCACTGTGGTGGCTAGAGGCTGGTGTTCCCCTCCAGGAGCTGCTGTGCAGGGTGCAGGAGGGTCCTGGTGGTTTGGGGGTGGGCACAAGCAGCAACTCAGTCCCCACAAGCCTGGCCTGGTAGTTCTTCCGTTGAGGCCAAGCCCTGGGTTTTTGCTCTTGTATTTAATCCCAGATCATTCCTGAGGCTGCTCTTACTGCCAGCCTCATTGATTTTGGAGCAGGATTTTTCCCTCAGCTGCTGTTTGTAGCCCCCATCCCTCTCCCTGCTGCCCAAACCCCACTCTGGCCTCTCCAGACTCCCGGTGGCAGGGATTCCAGCTGTCCCAGCCCCTCATTGATGGCATTCCCCCTCTCCTTCCCAGGTGGTTTTGGTTCCACGTGGGCCAGACGCTGTTCCATGTGGTGCAGGTGGTGCTGGGCTATATGGTGATGCTGGCTGTCATGTCCTACAACGCCTGGATCTTCCTGGGGGCCATCGCAGGCTCCACCCTGGGCTACTTCATGGTGTACCCCCTGCTGGGCCGGGGCTAGAGCTCCCCCGAGGTGGTGGCACACATGTCCCACCTCCTGCTCCTTTGTCTGGAATAGTTGCTGTCACTTCTGCTGGGTCTGTCTCTGTCCCTGTGCTCTGTGGGACATGGAACCCCAAGGACTTGCTGGCGGCCCTCAGGGCTGGCCCCGCTCTGGGGACGGGGAGCCCCATGGCCAGCACTCACCACGCTGCCACTGGCCTCAGCTGGTGGCTGTCCCCCAGCTCTCAGGGACCTTTGTGTGGGTGGTGACAGTGGGGGGGTGCTGGCATTTTCTCCCCCTCCCTGCTTTTCGAGGAGGTTCATCCTGGCTGGAACGGGAATGATCCGGTGACTTGCTGGGGACAGGGACCCCTGCCCTCCTGCCCAGAGCTGCCCTGCACCAAGCCCCTCTTCACACAGTGCCTTTGGGGACACTGGGGGTCCTGCCACCCCCACCCCACTCCTGTGCTTCAGGGATGGGGCTGGAGCCGCTGGTGTGGCTGTGCTGCTCCAGGTGCCTCTTGCTGCTTCCTCAGGACACCCCTTTGAATAAAATCATCTCAGCTCCACTCCTGGTTTGTGTCACTGCTGGGTGGGCTCAGGATGACACCCCTGGGTCACAGTGGGACTGGGGATCCCCAGCCCTACCCAGGGAGGTACTTCAGGAATAAGGAGAGTCTCCTCTGGCTTTAAATAAAGCTTTTCCATTTTATTAATTATTATAAGCATATCTTTAAACATTTGTATAACTTTCTTAATAAAATATCCTGGAAGAGACAGGTTTGAAGTTCACAGAGAAAGGCACTTTGAGGGGGGCCTCCCAAGGCACTTTGGGGGCCCCCCTGAGTGGGTTAGGCTGGGCACCCCCCTTCTGAGGCAGGAACAGTGGCACCTGGGCACAGGTGGGTGTCAGGGTGCTGGTCCCTGCTCCAGGTGGCACACCCAGGGGTGCTGCAGACCCCCAGCACCTCCAGAGCTTTTGGCATCACTGTGAGGGGGCTGCAGCAGTTCTGATCCCATGACACACGGGGAGTTTCAGCAAACCCTTGCTCTTTGCTCAGCCATCACAGCAGATGCCAAAATCTACAAAGCTGGAGAAACCATCCATGGAAGGTGCTGAGGCGATCTGGAGGGCAAGGGCTGGGATCTCTCCACTGCACAGTGAGCTCAGTCTAGAGTTATCCCAGTCCTGCCAGGCACAGCTGGGATACGGCGTGTCACCTTCCCCCAGAGACTGAACTCTGAACTTAAAATAGCTCCTAGAATAGCTCCTAGGGGTGAGGATGGCTGGGGGTGAGCTCTGGGTGCTGTGAGCCCAGCCTGGGTACCAGGTTGGCAGGAGCCTGGTCTGGATGCTGTGAGCCCAGCCTAGATGCTGTAAGCCTAACCTGGATGCTCTGAGCTCACCCTGGATGCTGTGAGCGGAGCCTAGTTGCTCTGAGCCCAGCCTGGATGCTCTGAGCCCAGCCTGGGCACCAGCAGCCCATGGCTGTCCCAGCGCTCTCCCCCTCGGCAGTGTCTCAGGCCCCCCAGCGTTGCTGTCCCTGTCGTGTCCCTGTTTGCCATCATCCCCTGCAGCCCCTGCTCCCACTGGCACTCCTGGAGCTGGCCAGGTGGGGATGGCAGAGGGCAGGCTCCCAGGAACCCCCCAGACGGGGGCAGGGACAACCCTGGGGACAGCCAGGAGTGTCCCACACACCCACCGTCAGCAGGGCTAGTGCCAGCCCCCCCAGCAGCCCCAGGCACTGGTTGGGGGGGCAGATAAAGCTCTTCAGTAAAGCATCTCCTCAGTAGGAAAGAAAATAAGGCAGAAGAAGGACAGAGCAGAGAGCAGAGGATGCCCCATGCCAGGCTGGGGCCACCCCAGTCTGACCCAGCGGGGGCTGTGGCTGTGGGCAGCCCCCCTTGGCAGCGGGACCCCTGTTAGGCAGTAAGGTCTCGGTGTCCCCATCCCCTCCCTCTCCCACAGTGCTGCTCTCCATCCCGGGGGTCTTATCCCCCTCCCCCAGCCCCAGTGTCACCAGGGCCAGTCCATGGCGGGGGCTGGGGCTAGAACTCAGTCTGCACCCCCTCACCGCTCTCTGTGGTGCCCCTGGGCTGCGGGAGGCTGTCCCCGTGCTCGCCTGTCTCCTTGTCACTGCGCTGGTGACACACTGCTGATGGGCTCTGGGCTCCGGGTGGTGCTGCTGTGCCATGGGGCACCTTGGCCTCTGCTGGGACATTGGCTCGGGGGCTGGCTGGTGCTGCTGTGCCGTGTGGCACGTTGGATACTGACGGGTCAGCTCCGGGCACCGGGGACGCTGGCACGGATGATCTTGGTGTGACGTGTGGCACCTCAGCCTCTGATGGGACATCAGCTCTGGACACAGGAGATGCCGGCACAGTTGATCTTGGTGTGGCATGTGGCACCTCAGTCCCTGATGGGACATCACCTCCAGACACGGGGGAAGCTGGCACGGATGATCTTGGTGTGGCATGGGGCACCTCAGCCTCTGATGGGACATCAGCTCTGGGCACAGGTGATGCTGGTGCAGGACGTTGTTTCCCAGTCCCTGATGGGACCTCAGCTCCAGGGACAGGTGACAATGCTGGTGTGGCACACTGCCCCCCTGATGACACCTCAGCTCCAGGCACAGGTGGTGCTGGTGCAGCCCGGCGTGTCCCAGTCCCTGATGGGACCTCAGCTCCAGGGACAGGTGACGATGCTGGTGTGACACGTTCTCTCCCAGTCCCTGATGGGACTTCAGCTCCAGGTGCTGGTGATGCCGCAGTGGCACAGTGCACGCCGTCCCCATCACGGGCTGGACCTTGCTGTGTGACACCCCCTGGGGCAGCCCCTGCCAGCAGCACGCCCTCCTCGCTGGCACCGCTGCCATCGGTGCCGTTCATCAGCCGCTCCTCCGCCCCGGTGCCATCCCCGAGGCTCTCCTGTGCCAGCGCCTCCCGGATCTCCTTCACCGCATCCGGGGGGCTCGGGGGCACCACGGGGTGTGCCTCCTCTGGCTCCCGTGGCTCGGGGGAGCCGGGCTGCAGCAGCGCCTCGGCCCCATAGGGCAGGGCCCCCTCGTCGTCCTGGATGACGGACACCACCTGCTTGGCCCTGCGGCGCCGCTCGGCCGCCGGCTCGGCCTCGGGCTGCCCGCTGTACTCCTCGCTCCAGTCGATGGGCAGGCCCTCTCCCAGCAGGTGCAGGTTGGGATCGCTGTTGTGCATCACCATGCTGTCCCTGTACAGGTTGTGCTTCCGCTGCACGGCCGCCTCCTTCACAGCTGGGGACAGGGAGGGACAGCTCAGCTCACGGGGGCTGCGGGCACTGCCGGGCTGGGGCACCTTGCCCAGTCCTCCCCGTGGGTGATGGCAGAGGTGGCTGGAGCTGGGCAGGGTGGGCAGCATCCCACCCACTGCTCAGCCCCGCCAGGGGGGAAGCCAGGTGGGAAAGCTGCTTCTAGGGCAGCCCCCAGCACCCTGCACAGGTCACCCCTCCTTACAGAGTCCCCAACACCCTGTATGGGGTCAGCTCTCCTTATAGAGTCCCCAAAGCCCTGTATGAGGTCACTCCACCTCGTACAGCCCTGAGCTGATCCCCTGAATTGAATCACCACTCCTCAGGGACCCCCCAGCACCCTGCAGAGGGTCACACAGAGGGTCTCCTCATACAGCCCCCAGCACCCCACATGTGGTTACACCCTCTTCATACAGCCCCCAACTCGCTCTGCATGGGAACACTCCTCCTTATCCAGCCCCTGTCATAGGGTGCCCCCAAAATCCTGCAGAGGGTCACCCCCTCCTCACACAGCCCTCAGCCCCCTGCAGAGGTCACCCCCTCCTCACCAGGTGTCACAGGTCCCTACCTTGCATGATGTCTTTCATCACCGACTGCAGCACCACCTCCTCGTAGGTGTTCTCCACCAGGATGAAGCTGGCGAAGTCCTCGAAGATCAGCTCCTGAAACTTGGCTAATTCCTGCCAGGGGAGAGGTGGCTCAGCACAGTAGGTTGGGGGAAATGGATGCTCCAGCCCCTCCACAGAGGTCCTTCCCTGCACCCCAAACTTTCCCTTCTTACCCCCTTGCAGGTGGGTGCCAGCTTTTTCAGCAAGAAGGGGATGGTGATCTGCAGCAGGGCCTCCCTGAAGAACTTCTTCCTCACGGTGCTGCTGTCATAGTCAAATTTCTGCAGGGTGAGAGGGTGCCCCGGGTCACCCAGGGCTGTGGGCTGGCAGCCCCCTGCCCACAGGCACAAACCCCTGAGATGTGCCCCCCAGCCCATTCACACAGACCCCTCTGGCCTCACATTGCTCTCTCCAGCTGTTTTCCAGTGTTTCTGAGCCTGGGTAGGAGCCAGCTCTTCCACTGCTGGCTGCAGGAGGGTTTGGGGGCCAGTCTGAAGCCTGGGGGGCTTTTATGGATATGCTCAGAGGGCACCTGGCTCCTCCAGGTGATTTCCCACTTCCCTGCCCCCATCAAAATCCATGAAAACCCTAAAAGACTTTTGAAATAGATAACATCACTGCTAGCTTCTTCCCTGGCCCTGGAACAAGGCCACCAAAGGCCACCAGAGACCACCAGAAGCCTGACCCCCTGGCTCACCTTGAGCACCCTCTCGAGGATGCGCTGGATGGACTTGCACAGGTCGTCCTTGCCCTGCAGCTTCCCGAGCTCCTGGTGCAGCAGTGTCTCGAAGGTGTACACGGCATCGTCCATTTGCTGCCACCAGAGACACGTGGTCAGCGAGGGGGGCACCCAAAGGGGGGCAGGGGCTCTTGGGGCACTGCCACACTGAGATGAGACTTAGCACAGATCCCCACAGTGGTTTGGGGTGGAAGGAACCCTAAAATCATCCAACCAGCCCCTGCCATGGCAGGGACACATCCCACTGTCCCAGGCTGCTCCAAGCCCTGTCTGCCTGGCCTTGGGCACTTCCAGGGATCCAGGGGCAGCCACAGCTGCTCTGGGCACCCTGTGCCAGGGCCTGCCCACTCCCACAGGGAGCAATTCCTTCCCAATATCCAACAGGAAAAGAGCCTTCACTCTGCACAAATCCCTGACCTCCCACATCCACAGCCCTCACCCTGAGGATCAAGGGTGTTGGGAGAGGAGGTTGCTCAGAGCTGGTGTTGCACCCCCTCATCCTCCTACACCCCATGCCAGCTTAGGCTGGATCAGACCCCAGAGCTGGCTTAGTGATCTTGCTGGTGCCAGTGGGCTCGGTGGAAAAGGGGCAGCTGTGCCAGGATGCCCCAACCCACCATGGACTCCAGACCAAAGGGTCTCCATCGTCCACCTTTCAAGACAGCACGGACATCCCAGCCTGGGCTTCCCAAACCTCTGTTCCCAGCCCAGTGGGACAGGGAAGGACCCTGGTCTCCATCTCACCTGTCTCATGTAGATCTGGGCCCTCTGCTTGAAGACGGATGTGCTGGAGACATCGAATCGCTGCTGAAGACCCTCCAGTTTCAGCTGGTCCATCTTCTCATAGCACGACTGCATCTTCACGGGGTGGAAGGCCAGGTGGGAGAGCTTCTCCATGTACTGGGGACAAAGCCAAGCTCAGCCCCCACATACTCAAGGCAGGGACATTCCACCCCACACTGGTGGAATCTTCTCAGCCTGGGCTCTCCCAGTGCTGTCCACACTGAGGTGGAACGGGACTGGCCCTGTCACCCCGAAGCTGGCAAGGAGCACCACCAGGTCTCACCTCCACCAGCTTCTCCAGGCCGCCCTCGTTGACAACGTTCATGTTCATGTCGGTCACCTCCTTGAAGAACACCTCCCGCGCCTCAGCAAAGCCCTGGCTCGTGGGGGTCATCAGGGCCTCCAGGATGGAGGAGATGTAGGGCTGGACGTGGTTACGGACACAGACCTCTGCTTTGGGCAGGACAAAGGCTGGGAAAGAGCAGGGATGAGGATGGTGAGGCTCCTCTCTCCTTCCAGCCCTTCACATCACATCCTACAGCCACCCCAGCGAGGAGAAGCTGCCCCTGCTCCCAAACCCCTGAGGAAGAGTCTCCCCCTTTCACAACAACACAAGGAACTCCTGCAGAGTGCCCCTGGTCTGTCCTGAACCCATTCCTGCCCCACTGCCATGCCAGGGGGTTGTGGCATTCACATTCTCTGAACAGAGAGAGACATAATTCTCTCTCTCAGTTTTTTCCTGGAGAAGCACAGAGAGAAAATAATTTTTATCTCTTCTGGCTGCTCCTAGTGTTTTGCACATGTAGAATGTGTTGGGAAGATTGTTTACCTGAAGGAATTTGGTAATTAGATTCTAGTGGAGATTGTTTATGTTAATTAGCCTATCAAGTCCAAGCTGTATGGACTGTCAGTCTGCAGACAGTCACGAGTTTTTCAGTTAGGAGTAAGTATGATATAGCATAATATAATATCCCTCTTTAATATAGCTATAATGTAATATAATACAGCTTTAATAAAGTGAGTGTTCAGCATTCTGAATCAATAGAGTCAGATCCCAATCATTCCCTACCTCAGGAGTTAGCTTGTTTTACTATAGGGGATGACTGCCCACCTTGTCCCCAACCCCCTGGGACAATGCCAGTGGGGACATGCACCCCCCAAGGGTGCCAGGGGCTGTGCTGCACCCTAGGAACAGCCCCCCCAGGAGCCATGGGCACCCCCACACATCCCAGGGCATCCCTGCACCTCGGATCTTGCTGGCCAGGTGCTCCTTGGAGGTGATGATCTGGTCCATGTCCGTGCGGATGGTGCTCTCCAGCTGCGGCCGCTCCTGCTCACACCTGGCCACTGCAGCGTCGTACTGCGCCTTGGCCAGCTCATAGACCATCCTATAGACAGCATCCGACACCTGGGGGCACCGGGGAGGGTCAGAGACCCCCCACGCCTCCAGCTGCACCCCCAGCCATCGCCTGCAGCTCCAGCTGGCTGCAGCACCTGCTGAGCCATCCCCTGTGCCCTGACAGGACCCTTCCCCACAGCCTGCCAGGGGTTTCCACACCAGGAACCCCTCAGCGGGGTGAGATGGAGCTCCTGCAGTGCAGAAACTGCTTCCAAGTGGTGCTGGAGGGGCAGAGAGGTGAGCACTGCCTCCATCAGGCAACCTGCCCCAGGCAGGGCTGGGGATGCTGCATGTCCAGGAATGCTGCATGCTCAGGATGGCTGCATGTCCAGGAATGCTGCATGCCCAGGATGGCTGCAGGTCTGGGAATGCTGCAGATCTGGAAATGCTGCAGGTCTGGGGATGCTGCAGGGCTGAGGATGCTGAAGGTTTGGGGATGCTGCATGCCCAGGAATGCTGCAGGTCTGAGGATACTGGTGGTCCAGGGACAGTGGTGGTCCATGCAGCAGAGCCCCAGCCCACCCTGAAATCTGTTCCCTGCCCTGTTCCCCCTCCCTGGGCTCCCAGAGCCAATCTCTTGAGCAGGATGGAGCCACTCGCTGAGGCTTCACGTTCACCTTGCTGCCAAAGGCTGCGATTTTGGGGCTGGCAGGATGCAGTGCCCTGCCCTCCTCCCTTCTTCCCAGCCACTGCAGCTACTGGAAAAGCAGTTTGTGTGTTTTCAGGCCGCTCAAGTGGCCCATTACTTGAGAGCCTGGTGGTAATTATCGGGATTTAAGGTTTTAGCAGGCAGTTCTGAAGAGCCCTCAGTCTTTCGCAATGGTTTGGGCTGGATTTAGCCCGCACTGCTCTAAAAATGGCTCGCTAAATTTAGCCGGGACAGGCTCCGGGGCTGGGCTTCCTCCTGTTTGCTCCCGGCCCCAGGCGGGGCTGGGCAGGGCTGGGCAGGGGCACAGAAGGAGCTTTAAAATCCACTCTGGAGAAAGGACGGATTCTTTGCAAGGGGCCGGGAGAAGGGGGCAGCGAAGGCGGTGGGCACCGAGCCCAGCGGGGAAGGGAGGCTCCCCAGGCCGGGTGTGCGGGCAGGGGGAGGGGGGCAGGCAGTGGGGACCCCCCGGCAGCCCCAGCCCCACACCTGGATCCAGGTCCGCTGGCGCTCCGGGGCTTTGCCCTTCAGCCGGGGGCCGATGGTGCTCCTGAGCTCGGGGAGCAGCTCCTCCATCACCAGGTTGCTCAGCACCTGTGGAGGCAGGAGGTTTTTGGGGAGCCTGCTCGGCCCCCCCAGCCCTCTTAGCCGGGTTTGGGGGTGCGGTGCTCACCTGGGTCTCGTTGCCGCAGAGCATGTCCCAGGTGCCGTACTGCTCCTTGGACTGCCGGTACATGCGGATGGCGTCCGTGAAGGCTGGAGCCTCCACTTTGGAGTCCTCGGAGATCCCTGCGGAGGGGACACGGGTGAGCAGCCTGGAATGGGGAATGAGGGACGGCAGCACCTCCAGCACCCCCAGCCTACCTCTGTGTGCTTCCCCCACACCCTGGGACCCGTGCAAGCCCCCAGGGCTGTCACCAGGATTTGGGATCCTGTCCCAAGGCACTGCCCCTGACAGGGTGGGGGGCAGCAGGGGTTGGGGGGCTCCTGATACATCCAGAGTGATTCCCTCCAGAGCCACCCCGAGGGCAGGGAGGCTGGGTAGGATGGGGGCTCAGTGACCCCAAATGGTGCACAGGGAAATGAGGGCTCAGTGACCCGAGGATCTGGGGGCTCAGTGACACCAAAATGGTGCACGGGGACCTGGGGGCTCAGTGACCCCCAAAGGCACCCAGGAGCAGGAACTTGGCAGGATGGGGACCTGGTGACCCTAAAATGGTGCATGGGGACCTGGGGACTTGGTGAGCTCCAAAGGCACAGCAGGAGCAGGGGGCTCAGTGACCCCAAATGGTGCACAGGGACCTGGGGGCTCACCAGGATGGGGGGGTTCAGTGACCCCCAACCCCACACAGCACCCAGTGAGCCCCCTGCAGAATGGGCCATCTGGGGGGGCTGCAGGAAGAAGGGCCCTATAGGGAGCGGTGTGGCTTGGAAGGAAGAGCAAAGTGGCCAAGAGGCCTCAGGAGTGAGTCAGGGCCGGGCTGTCCCCGGAGAGTCACTGCAGCACCAGGAGGCTCAGGTGTCACCCCCAGCCTGCCCCAGCACCCAGCAGGAGGGGCAGGGCTGGGAGCCTCCACAGCGAGGGCATGGGGACAGCAGGCAGGCAGGACAGCCTGGGAGCTGTCCCATGTGTCCCATGCGTGTCCCTGCCTGTCCTGGCTCTGCAGGTCCCTGCCAGGCAGGGAAGCACCCCTGGAGAGAACCCTCCACTCCAGCTCCCCTCCCCATGCCCAGAGGAGGGGATCAGGACAGGATCTGAGCCTGCTCCAGGGGATCATCCCTGCAGTGCTGACATGTCCCACAGCACCTGGCAGGGCTGGGGACACGGCCAGGTGTCCAGGAGGGACAGCCCGGGGCAGTAAGCAGATCTCTCCCAGTGCACACAGACTTTTGTAAGGTGATTACAATTAACTCCAAGCCTAAGCAGATTTTGCTAAGGGGCAGCTTAATAATCAGGGGGAAAAAACACCAAGAAAGTAAAATCTGCTCCTTTCTCAGTCTTCGGTGGGAGCCAGAGCTGGGCTGAGCTTCCAGGGGTTGGAGCTGCTCCATCCATGCAGCTCAGATCCCTCCCAGGTGGGACAATCCTCACCTCCTGTCCCTGCCTGGAGCAGGATTTGCCTCCCAAGAGCCTTCCCAAGGTCACTCACTCCAGGCTGAGCCTGGGGACATCCCTGAGTCCATGCCATTCCCTGTGCCCTGTCCAGGCAGGGCTGGTGCAAGAAGCCCCCGTGCCAATTCCCAGGGAAAGTAACGAGTTTCCTTCATTAATGTGTGGTTTAGGGCCTGGAATGACAGGACACAGGGAATGGCTCCCCCTGCCAGAGGGCAGGGATGGATGGGATATTGGGAATTGTTCCCTGGGAGGGTGGGCAGGCCCTGGCCCAGGGTGCCCAGAGCAGCTGTGGCTGCCCCTGGATCCCTGGCAGTGCCCAAGGCCAAGTTGGACACTGGGGCTTGGAGCAGCCTGGGACAGTGGGAGGTGTCCCTGCCCATGGCTGGAGTGGCACTGGGATAGGATTTAAGATCCCTTTTAACTCAAACCATCCTGGAACAAAGGGTAGGAGCCCTCGGGGTGGGCACTGCCCAGCACCAGGTGACACCAGACTGGACAAGGGACAGCTTTGGAGCAGCCAGGGGCTCCAGGGAATCCCGTCTGTGTGAGGAACAGGGCTGCACATCCCCAGTCCTTTCAGAGGAGCTGCTGTTTCACAAACACAGTCTGAGACAGGGAGCTGAAAATTCCCACACCAATCACAACCAGAGGCAGAAACAGAGCCTCTAATTTACAGGGAAAAAAAACCCCAACAACCTAAAGTGCTTTCCAACAACAAAAGAGCCTTCATGGAATATGAAACAGGATCCTGGAGCTCCCAGGAGCAGAGAGGGGCAGGAAGAACAATGTCACAGACAAATCCAGGCTGGAGGAATGTGGCACCGAGCCCTCCTCGGCCACTGCCCACTTGGGAAGGCATTTCCATCACATGCTGAGGAGAAGCAGAGGGAGGAGAGGATTTTCTGGCACACCCATGGCTGGCAGAGGGGGTGGTGGAGGGGTTCACACCTCCCCTGTGTCCCCCAGCAGCACCCAGCAGGTGGAAGGGGAATTAGAGATGAAAATTGAGGGTTTGTTAGCAGGAGATCAATTCCTCTTTTATCCAGAGCTGGTTTTGCTCACAGCTGCTGCTCCAGCCAGCACTGGGGGCTCTGGGGTGCTGAGCTCATCCAGAAATGATCCTCAGGGGGATGAGGGGTCACAGCACCCAGCCCCACACAAAGGAGGGGGCACATTCAGCCCAAGGAGCACAGAGACCCCCAGCACAAAATAAAAAGAGCGATTTTTCAGGAGATTTAATCCAACGTGGGGGGATGGAAACCCTCAGTGAAACCCAGGCTCCAGATCCCACCCTATTACAGCAGCTCTGGCAAAACTGAGGCAAAATTGAGGCTACCCAGAGTTCCCAGGAATGAAAGCAGCATTTACAAATCGGGCAGAGTCTAAAATGCCCACCAAAACACCTGATTCTGAGCAGGTTTCAGCTCTGGCACCACCTTCCTCAGGAAATTTCTCACCATCCCAAGCATGGCCAGCACTTGGGGCTCAGCCCAGGAATGCCCAGGCCACAGCCAAGCAGGAAAATCGTGTTTTCCTGCCAGAGTATCACTGGTGTGGGAGGCAGGTCTTGCCTCCACCCAGCTGCACAGCCCTGCACCCCCTGCCCTGCATTTCTGCCCACAGACCTGCCGGCCCTTGGTGGGAGGTTTGGGGTTTGGTGACTTTAATTAATAAATATTTTCTCCCTCAGGGTGGGAAATGGGCATCAGGGCAGCTCTGGAGCCAGGCTCTGTGCTGGCTCCTGGAAATACTACCTCATGAGCAGAGGATGGAGCTGGGCACAGGGATGCTCCAGGGAGCTGGGGGTGATGCTGGCATTGATGAGATGCTCAGTCATGGAGTCCCACACTGCTTTGGGTTAAAATGGACCTTAAAATCATCCTGTTCCACCCCCTGCTGTGGGCAGGGGCATGTCCAGCTATCTCAGGTTGCTCCAGCCTTGCCTTGGGCACTGCCAGGGATCCAGGGGCAGCCACAGCTGCTCTGGGCACCCTGAGCCAGGTCCTGCCCACCCTCACAGGGAACAATTCCTTCCCAACATCCCATCCATCCCTGCCCTCTGGCAGTGGAAGCCATTCCCTGTGTCCTGTCCCTCCATGCCTTGTCCCCAGTCCCTCTCCAGCTCTCCTGGAGCCCCTCCAGGCACTGGAAGGATCTCCCTGGATCCTTGCCTTCTCCAACGTTCCTCAACAACTCACACCCAGCTCCTCCTCCTGATCTGCAAACCATCCCCTCTCCCACAGCCCCAGGCTGGCCCCTGCAGGTCCCTGTGTGGAGCAGGAGGGGCTGCAGTGTCCCCAGGTGTCACTCACCGTTGTTGCAGTGCCGCACGCAGTCCTGGAACACCGCCCGCCACTTCTCCTGCTCCTTGGCCGTCATCACACAGAAATAGTAGTGCCGGGCGTAGGGGTGCCACAGGACCAGCGGGAAATCCGTGGGGCACTTCAGGATGGGAGGGTGCCCAGATTTCGGTGTCACGCCTGCGGAAAAGCGCGCGTGGTTTGAGGGGGAGATGGGGCTGGACAGGGATGGGGAAGCTGCAGGGTTGGGGTGTCCAGCAGGGACATGCAGAGCCTTCTGCTCCTTGCCAGGGCCTTTGCTGGGAGTTGTTAAAAAAAAAGCAAAAAGAGCCTCATTTTTCCAAAAAGGAGATCAGAATGAAAATTGAGAAGTAAAATTAAAAGTAATTAAAAAACATGTGGTTGCCACATTTTCCTTCCTGTTTTCCTTCCTATTTTCTTTCCTATTTTCCTATTACCTCCCTCCCTCCCCTCCCCTCCCTGGTGGCTGTGGCAGGACCTCAGCAGACCCCACACCCCACTGTGGGGTCAGGGCTGTTCTCCTTCCCTCCAACCCCACTACCCAAAACCACCACTTCCCAAAGGTGCCCCGAAAAAAAACCCCCCATATATCCCAAAAAAACCCCATTCCTGAAGGTCTTTAAGGATGCCAAACCCCAAACGCATCTTTTCTAGAAGGTTCCCAAGGATGCTACACCTCAAATCTGCCCCTTATAGATGATCTTCAAGGATGCCACACCCCAAACCCACCTTTTCTAGAAGGTTCCCAGGGATATAACACCCCAGAATCACCCTTTTCTAGAAGGTCCTCAGGAATGCTACACCCCAAAATCACCCTTTCCAGTAGATTCCCAGGGATGCTACACCCCAAACCTACCCCTTCTAGAAAGTCTTTAAGGATGCTACACCCCAAACCTTTTCCAGAAGGTCCTCAGGTATGCTACACCCCAAACCCACCATTTCTGAAGGTTCCCAGGAATGCGACCCCCCAAAATCACCCTTTTCTGAAGGTTCCCAAGGATAGGACACCCTTTTCTGAAGTCCCTCAGGGATCACACCCCCAAACCCACGCAAAGGTCCCCAAGGGCACGAGGGCCCTCACCAGGCAGGCTGTTGTTGACCAGCTCCAGGTACTGCTCCACGGAGGTGAGGATCTTGTAGCCAGCACTGTTGACCAACACCCGGGGCGGCTGCTCCCGCTCATAGGCCTGAGCAGAAGAAATAGTCATGGATGGGGTGTCCATGGGGAATGACCCCGCTGGAGATGGGTCAAAGGGGGGCTGTGCTCACCACTTTGTTCTCGTAGAGGACCAGCCCGTAGTTGTGTGGCACCACGCAGAAGCGGTTCCTCCACTTCTTGTTCTCCTCAATGTACTGGAAGATGTTGCCTGAGTAGATGACATGGTCCTCCAGTGGAACCTGCAGGGAGGGGACAGGCACAGGTGTCCTAGATTGCCAAGCAATGTGTGTTCTGTCCCCATCTGTCAGAGCTGGGGCAGTTCTCCTCTGTTTTCTTTATCTCTCCCACAGCCAATCCTCCCTCCAGGAGATCTCTGCTGTTCATGGCCACTGAGTGTCCCTGCAGGGCTGATCAAATTCCAGCATCCCATGGGAGATGCTCCGCCCAGGGCAGGAGCCAAGCATTCCTACCTGGATACAACCTGAGCCTGGAACAGCACAGCAGCCTTTGCCCACTGCATTCCCAAAGGAGCAGCTTTCTCCTGCCCTGCATTCCCAGAGGGAGAGCAGGCCCATCTCCAGCAGCCCTGGAGCTTCAGAGGAGAACTCCAGCCTTGTGCAGGATCCCTGCTCCAGCAGAACCACAGCTGGCACTGCAGGAGGGCTGAGCCCCCATGGGATGGGACTGTGCCACCACCCTGACACACAGGGCTCAGCTCCTGCTCTGACTCTGCCTGTGTTGTTTTGATTTACTGCATTGTTTATTTTATTTTCTTTCCTAGTAAAGAACTGTTATGCCTATTCCCAGATCTTTACCTGAAAGCCCCTTAATTTCAAATTTATAATAATTCAGAGGGAGGGGGTTTACATTTTCCATTTCAGGGGAGGCTCCTGCCTTCCTTAGCAGACACCTGTGTGTTCAAACCAAGACAACAGGGGATCAGGGAGGGGACAGCTCTGCCCTGGAGAGCTCAGTGCGATCCATCCATGGTGGCCTGGGTGGGTGTTTCTTCTCCAGGGCCATGCTGAGGGTCTCCACTGCATCACCTCCCAGGGTGGAGCAAATTTTGGTGCCTGAATTGGTGCATTTGGGAGATGCTTTGAGGGGCACCACAGGCACAGCCCTAGAAAAGCTCATAGGGGTGGCTCATCCAGCATGTGGTGACACCCGTGCCCCTGGCATCTCCCCCTGGGACACACCGAGCTCAGCTGAGCCCCTCCAGCTCCCCTGGCTGAGTGGAAGGCTGGAGCTGAGCTCTCCAGCAGCTCTTCCCAGCCCCAGCTGGAATTTCCCTGTCCTGGGGCAGGGGCAGGGTGTGTGCCAGTGCTGCCAGAAGGTCCTGCCAGGGGCATCTGCAGGTGGAAGGAACCCAACACTGCCCAGCAGGCTCTCCAGATGGGACAGGGCAGAGGAAAAGCCAGAAGCCACCACAGAGAGCCCAGCACTAAATGATGCTCAGATGTTCTGGTCTCCACTGGGACCAGTGACAGCTTTTTTAAACTAGGAGAGATTTTGAGTGGATTTTGGAAAGGGATTGTTCCCTGTGAGGGTGGGCAGGCCCTGGCACAGGGGGCCCAGAGCAGCTGTGGCTGCCCCTGGATCCCTGGCAGTGCCCAAGGCAAGGCTGGACAGGGCTTGGAGCAGCCTGGAACAGTGGGAGGTGTCCCTGCCCATGGCAGGGGTGGCACTGGATGGCTTTAAGGTCCCTTCCAACCCAAACATTCCATGATTCCATGGCAGGACCAGGCCAAGGACACCCCGTGCCCCCCCAGCTGTGCAGCCCCTCCCAGCCCTGCAGCACCTTTTGGCCAGCAGCGTCTGCACCATCCCAAACACAGCCTGCCTGAGGGAGCCAACAATTTGTCCCAGGAATTTTTATGATCCCAGGAACATAAACAAGAGCTGAGAGCTCTCGTGAGGGCTGGAGCGTGCGGCAGCCGCCTCTTCTGCCGCGGCCACCCACCCTCCACCGTGGTGGCCGCCAGGAGGGACCAGCTAGGGCTTGCATCCCACCCTGCCCCAGCAGCAGGACCCTTCTGGAGGAGCTTTTCCCACTCTTCTCCCTTCTCCTGGCTCACAGGAACCTCTCTGCCTTCCCCAAGTCCAGACCACACACCCCCTTGGGCTGGGGGAGGTCTGACAGGAGCTTGGCTGCTCCTCACTGCTCCTCACTGCTTCCCAAAGCCTTTAGAAGGGGGAAAGGGAAGCCCAAAGCCCTGCAGGGCTGGGGCCAGCAGGAGGAATGAGAACCCAGACCACAAGGCCACCAGCAGAGATGGGGACAGAAAGGACATGCCAGCTCTGGGGAGTGACCAGTGACTCATCCGAGGGGAATGACCCCCCTAAAGTGGCTCCAGAACCTGTGTCCAGGGCAGAGAGCTGGACAGACCAGCTGCTGATGGAATAAAACCCAGGCTGAGCCCTGACATGGCTCTGGGAACCCTGGAGAGCCACCAGCACCCTGGGAGCCCCAGCAGAGCTGTCCCCTCCTCACACACCCTCCACACCCCAGGGGGCTCCTCCCAGCTCCAGGAAATATTTGGGACAGTCAGGTGTCAGGTGCCAAGCTGTGGGGCTGGGCAGGGAGGGGCTGGGGAGCCCCTGGGCTGCCCAAACCCCTGTCACAGGGCCAGGGGACAGAGGGTGTCAGGGAAGATTTTTCAGGAGAACTGGATTGTTGGACAGACCAAATGCAGATGTGTTTATTCCATATTCTCATTGCTGTTGTATCTTGCTGGTGTTTCAGGTGCCTGAATCATCCTTCACACCCCATTCCTGCTGTCCCACTCTGCCCAGGAGGGCCACTAATGTCACCCCTGGTGCCACTGCTCCTAGCACCACAGAGCTCACAAAAAAGGGGGAATAAACAAAGAACATTTAAAAATCCCAAGTGCCACATCCCAGCCGGGCAGGATAACACCCTCCAACAACAAAAGTTGTGCCATCCACAACTTTCTGGGGCATGTTTAGGGGCACAAAGTGCAGCTGGAAATGCCCATCCATCACTGTTGTGGTGCCTGGAGTGTTGGAACATCCCAGTGGCACTGCCATGTCCCTGGAAAGGCTTGGGCAGCACATGGGACATTCCAGTGGCACTGCTGTGTCCCTGGGAGGGGCTGGGCAGCAGACAGGACACTGAGCAGGAGGAATTCCTATTTCTACACGGGGTTTTTCCAAGACTTGCACTGTCCCTGACCTCCTGACCTTGCTGCTGTCCCTCAGACATTCCTGGGCTGCTTGCTGGAGCCTTTGGATGAAGCAACCAACCTGGGGATGGAGGCACCTCCCAGGGGGGATGAAGGCATCCGAGGAGCCCAAGGGTGCTGAGGACACCAGGAACCTCCACTCCTTTGTTTTTTCTAACACACCCAGCACGCAGGCAGGTCCCCGAGGAGATGGGGCACGTCCTGGTGCCTGGGCAAGGTGTCACCTCCATGGGTGGGTCAGGGACACGGCCTCTGTGAGCACCCAGGGCCTGAGGCTGAGCTCAGGGAGGCATTGCCCAGATTCTTGAACAGAGCCACCCCTTTAAGCTGCAGGCAAAAGCAGAAGCCTGTGGCCATGTGCAATCACATCCCTTCCTGCTTTCAAGGGCAGCAGCTCCACCAACCTGGCCAGGCAGGACCCCAAGAAAACCACCCCAGGGAGGTCCCCAAGCCATGTCAGCTTGTGAGCAGCCCCACCTGAGGTGGTCTGCCTTAGGAGGAGGGAGGGGCAGAGGGGAAGGCAGGATCCCACAGAGCCACAGCACCAATCCCATCCCTTTAGCCAGGCAGGAGACACATGGCTGCTGCAGTCAGAGCCAGAGCCACCTCTGGGGTCACCTGCCAGGGGTTTCCTGTTCCTCCCTAGGGATGTGCCCAGCTGGGAGCAGCACTCACACCCAGGAGCAGCAGGACACTGCCTGGCACATCTGCTCAGGGCTCTCTGGGCACTGAGGGGTCTCTGAGCTCCTGCCAGCCCTGGCATGGAGCACAGACATCCCCACAGCTCACCATGCTGTGTGCCCCTTCTGTGGACTGGGACAAAGCCATCCCAGGGAGCCCCAGAGTGCACAAGGCCCCAGGGACAGGCTGGGCCAGCAGCACAGGGCCAGATTCCCCCCAGCAGGATGGGCCAGCAGGAGGAATGAACCCAAACCCCAGGGCCACCAGCAGGGATGGGGACAGAAAGGAGGTGCCAGCTCTGGGGAGTCCCCAGCAGCGACACACCCATGGGGAATGAGCCCCCTAAAGTGGCTCCAAAGCCAGTTCCCAGGGCTGTGGGAAGGACAGGGAGCTAGGATGAGCCCTTACCTTGCAGTGGGAAGGACAGGGAGCTGGGATGAGGCTCACCTTGCGGTGGGAAGGACAGGGAGCTGGGATGAGGCTCACCTTGCCATGGGAAGGACAGGGAGCTGGGATGAGGCTCACCTTGCCATGGGAAGGACAGGGAGCTAGGATGAGCCCTTACCTTGCAGTGGGAAGGACAGGGAGCTGGGATGAGGCTCACCTTGCCATGGGAAGGACAGGGAGCTGGGATGAGGCTCACCTTGCGGTGGGAAGGACAGGGAGCTGGGATGAGGCTCACCTTGCCGTGGGAAGGACAGGGAGCTGGGATGAGGCTCACCTTGCCGTGGGAAGGACAGGGAGCTGGGATGAGGCTCACCTTGCCGTGGGAAGGACAGGGAGCTGGGATGAGGCTCACCTTGCCATGGGAAGGACAGGGAGCTGGGATGAGGCTCACCTTGCCATGGGAAGGACAGGGAGCTGGGATGAGGCTCACCTTGCGGTGGGAAGGACAGGGAGCTGGGATGAGGCTCACCTTGCCATGGGAAGGACAGGGAGCTGGGATGAGGCTCACCTTGCCATGGGAAGGACAGGGGAGCTGGGATAAGCCTCACCTTGCAGTGGGAAGGACAGGGAGCTGGGATGAGGCTCACCTTGCCATGGGAAGGACAGGGAGCTGGGATGAGGCTCACCTTGCCGTGGGAAGGACAGGGAGCTGGGATGAGGCTCACCTTGCGGTGCAGCAGCTGTGCCTGCGGGCCCCCGGCGCCCTCGATCTCATAGCGGACGCTGTTGAACAGAGCGACCCCAAACTGCTCTTGGTAGCACCGGCAGAACTCGCCCAGCACCTTCCCCGTCCTCTCTGCAACAGGACAGCAGAGCCACGTTAGGCAGGGCTGGCTGTGGGCTCCGAGCCCCTCAGAGCCCCCCAGACCCCTCCCCAGCACCCTGCTGCAATATAACAATATATCTGAACAGCTCAGGCCTCAGTGTGCACCAGCCACACTGTCTGTAACTGTTCTTATCAAAATGTTCTCAAAGCACCTTAAAATTCATCAAAGTTACTAACACATAAACTGTACTAAAATAAGAACGAAGAAGCTGAGAGACTGCATACCAAGATCACAAGAACTAAATAACACAAGACTGTAGAACACCTACACAGTAACCAATCACAACCACTAAAAAATGAAGGCAGAAAACAAAAGAACAAAACAAAAACACCAGTCAAGAAGTGTAATCTTAGTAATTTATAAAATCTATAAAGGTGTATGTAATATAAACAATAAACAACTTCTATTTAATCATATTAATCAATTATTCAAGAGTCCTAGTTTACCCACAATACTGGAAGAGCCTTTGGTGCAGGGAGTATGGCAGAACCCGCTGCCTTCTGCCCTCCCTGTGCAGCCCAGGGCCTGATTCAGGGTCAGGATGATCTCTTTTTTTGGCCTTTCACATTAATTTCATGGATTCCTCTCCCCGGCAGGAAATTCCTGACATTGAGCTGATTCCGGCGGTGCCGGGGCTTCCTGTGCCTTGTGCAGCTCCTGGCCCTGCTCTGGCCACCTCAGCTGGCTGGGACTGGGGTGCGCCCCCCATTCCTCAGCCCAAACATGACTGACACCCCCCGACCCCGCTGTGCACCCACAAGGGCCACCCCACAAAGGGGCTCCCAGCCTGTGCTGCAGCAGGGCTGGGATTGGGGTCGGGGTGAGGGGAAAGGACAGCCTGCACCCCCCACACTCACCCACGTGAGGCAGGGACCCCCACCAGGACCCCAAACTCCAATCTGGAACGAGTCCAAGGTGCTGGGAGAGCCTGAGCTGACAGGTATTCCCCTGCACCCCACATTGGGGTGAGATCCCCTCCATCCCACAGGCAGCCCTTTCCCCAGCAGCCCCTGGATGCAGGGGGTGGGGGCACACTGCAAACCCACCCCCAGCAGCTGGGACGGGGCTTTGCTCCTCCCAGTGTGGGGGGACCCTGGGCACCCTTGGGCACCCTGACCCACCCAGCACCTCCCCACCCCTGCCCCAGACCCTGCACGGGGGTCCCACACCAAAACCCCATCCTGAAGCATCCCAAGGCTGCAGAAACAATCCCCCCCGAGCTGCTTTTGGCACACAGGGCCTCGACTTTGAACTCCCCAGTCAACTTTGCCCCAGAGCCTGTGAAAAATGAAGAATCTGAGTCTCCTCCAACAATTTCTGACAGCTCAGGCTTGGCCAGAGCACTGGTGATGGGCGCGGGGAGGACGGATCCTGGCTCTGCATCCCAGTGCTGGAGCCAGCACGATGCTGGGGGCACAAACCCAGACTAAACAGCCCCCACACCGGCTTGGCACAGCCTGGCAGCAGCCAAAACCTCCAGCAGGAGCCAAAACCTCCAACAGGAGCCAAAATCTGCAGCAGGAGCCAAAATCTCCTGCAGGAGCCAGCCCAGAGCTGTGCTGGCAGCCAAGGCAGCACAAGGAGCAGCTTTGCTGCAGGGTGCTGCAAATCCCCACGGGATGAGCAGCTCCAGAGGAAAATGCTGCCCAAGGACGGATAAACGCATCCCTGAGGAGATGCCAGCACTGCCAGCCACGGGAGCGAACCACAGACCAGCAGTACGTTGTGCCAGGGCGAAACCCCCCAAAATTGAAAAAAATCACAGCAAAGGATGAGACACCCCAGCTCATCCCTCACAGAATTCCTCAGCCTGGATTTTGGCCTCTCCTCCTGGCCTCCACACAGCACCTCTGTTGCAATTCCTGTCTCCCAGGCTGTGTGACTCTGGCCAGGGCTCTGGGCAGCCATGCAGACAGCTGAGATTGAAAAGGACGTTTTGAGGTTTCATTTCCTTTCAGTCCATGGGAAAAAAGGAGCCCCCAGTCCCCGGGCAGGCGAGACGGCTTAGTCACTCATTCTTCCCTGATTAACAGCAGGGCCAATTAGGAGGGTTTAAGTAAATGGAAAAGCAAAAGTCAATGATTTGCAGAGGTTGGAACAAGACTTGCAGTCAAACATCCGAGGTGAGCAAATCTCCCCAGGCTCAGCAGGACGCTCTGGGGTGCTGGGGGGATGCTGGGGGCCACTGATGCTCCCTGCCTGGTAGCCCTGGTGGCAAGCCCAGGGGAGCAAGAGGGACAGGGACCTCTGGGAGTGACATAAGAGTGGAGTGGTAGTGGGGGGCTGTGCCTGAGCAGAGGGTGAGTGCCCAGGCTGCCCATGCCAGAGCGTGTCCTGACTCCTCACATCTGGACACCCTGGCAGGGCTGATGTGCCACCCTCAGGAACTGCCTCAGCCACCCCCTGGCTCCTTCAGCAGGCTGAGCAAAGCCTCCCTGAAGAGTTGGGGGCTGTGCAGAGCATTCCCTGCCAGCACAAGGGAGCACTGAGGGCTACAGAGAGCGTTCTGTGCTCCAGCTCCACGGCCAAAGCCACCCACGAGTGGCTGTCCCTCCATGAGCAGCTTTGGCTGCACATCCAGCCAAGGTCTGGGGACAGGGGACACAGCCCCCTAGACTGTCACCTGTCCTCAGACCCCTCTGTCACGGCAGAGGAGAGCAGGGACCCCCGCAGCCAACACCACCCTGGGTGTGTGCTCAGATGCCACAAAGTGCTTTGGCACACAGGAGCACCCGCAGGGACCTGCCAGGGCCCCATGTCCCCAGGCAGCCACCCACCCCAGCGCTTTCCCAACACCCCTGTTTGCTCTGGGACCAGCACCCACACCCCGCCCCTGCCACCACCCCGTCCCTGGCACACCCAGAGGGGCGGCTGGGCTGGCACAGGCCCTGGCACGTCCCGCTGGCTCCTGGCAGGGGGAAGCCACTGTGGGGTTCCAAGAGCAGTGGCAGCACCGACGCCTGGCTCGGCAGGATCCCTGTGTCAGCACCTCTGGTGACAGAGCTGCTCTGTCCCCAGCCCCCAGCTCCCCTCCTGCCTCTCGGTGACTCAGGCACACATGGTGGCTCCAGCAGCAGGGACATGAAGAGGCTGCACAGCCCAGAGGGCACAGAGAGGGCTCTGGGCACCCAAACCCCAAACAGGGCGGGGTATCGGGTGGGATGGCAAGGACACAGCAAGGACAGGGCTCAGGCAGGCCACAGAAGCTCCCAGCCACACTCCAGCCCTCCCTGCTAGGTCCCCAGGGTCCCCACACCGTGCTGGCATTGTCCAGGTAGGCTGTGCTATGGGCACAGCAGGGCACAGGGACAGAGCAGGGTAGCACAGGTGTGTCCCTGTCCCAGCTGAGCCCAAGGCTCCTGTGGCTGAAACCAGCCAGGAGAGGAGGCTCCTCTCCTGCCCAGCCCCCTGAGCAGAGCTGTCACCCAGGGCAGGGTGACAGGTAGGGTGACAGGCAGGGCACAGCCCTGGGGCAGTAAGTGCCCAAGGGCAGGCACAGCCCTCGCGTGCTCAGGGGTCACAGCCCGGCCAGGGCAGCCCTGGCTGGCTCTTGGTCCCTCTGAGCCAGGGCAGGAGGTGGATTTTGCCTTCAGGATTCCAAAGGCAGACTATCCAAGCTGGTCCAGCAGCCTGGACTGGCTGTGTCCTGCCCTTGGAAGCATCTCCAGCCCCGTAATCAGCCCCACACACAGAATCAGGGATTGCTCTGGGCTGGAAGGGACCTTGAACATCATCTCCTTCCACCCCTGCCATGGCAGGGACACCTCCCACTGTCCCAGGCTGCTCCAAGCCCCAGTGTCCAACCTGGCCTTGGGCACTGCCAGGGATCCAGGGGCAGCCACAGCTGCTCTGGGCACCCTGTACCAGGGCCTGCCCACCCTCCTAGGAGACAATTCCTTCCCTAAACCCCACCTAACCCCACTGTCTGTCAGACTGAAGCCATTCCCTGTGTCCTGTCCCTCCATGCCTTGTCCCCAGTCCCTCTCCAGCTCTCCTGGAGCCCCTTCAGGCCCTAGCAGGGGCTCTGAGCTCTCCCTGCAGCCTTCTCCTCTCCAGGTGAGCACCCCCAGCTCTCCCAGCCTGGCTCCAGATGGGCTCCAGCCCTGGAGCAGTTCTGTGGCCCCTCTGGACTCTCTCCAGCACAGACACACCCCGAGGCAGCAGCCAGTTCTGCTCCCCACCTCCAACAGACCAGAGCCAGCCCCACCTGTGAGGGGTGAGGGAAAAGCAACCCAGGAACTGCAGGAGTGACCCAGAGCCCTGATCACCTGCAGCCCAGCCCTGACCTTGCCCTTCCCTCCCTGCTGCATTTGCTGCCTGCAGGCTGTCTCACCAGGGTGGGGAGAGCAGAGCTCCAGGAGCCCACCCCACAGCCTCAGGCTCACAGAGAGCCCTCCCAGCACCACAGTGTGTCCAGAGCTCATTTTCCTCATTGCCCTTGAGATCATGTGAAATGGGAGTGCTGCTGGAAACAGCCCAGGCCCTGGGCAGCCCAGTCAGCAGATCCAGCCATGGGGAGGTCAGTCCTGCACAGGTTTGCACCAAAATTTCCTTGTCCTTCCTCCCGCTCCTCATTCTTGCTCAGCTCAGCACAGCCAGGACCCACAGGGGTATCAGGGGATGCTGTGTGTCCCTGGTGGGACAGAGCTGATGGGGACAAGGACGTGGCTGAGCCCAGGTGTGTCCCCAGGGCGGGGCAGCTGCTGCCAAAGGCAGTGGGAGCAGAGCTCTGGGGCTGAGGGGCAGCAGCAGCACAGGCACACCCAGCAGCAGGGAATCAGGGAATGGTTTGGGCTGGAAGGACCTTACAGATCATCCAGTGCCACCCCCTGCCACACCTTCCACTGTTCCAGGCTGTTCCAAGCCCTCTCCAGCCTGGCCTTGGGCACTGCCAGGGATCCAGGGGCAGCCACAGCTGCTCTGGGCACCCTGTGCCAGGGCCTGCCCACCCTCACAGGGAAGAATTTCT